GAGAGAGAGAGAGAGAGAGAGAGAGAGAGAGAGAGAGAGAGAGAGAGATTATTATAACATCAAAAACTGTGGGCAGCTTGCGTCTGTCATCAGGGAACTGACTACACCATTTAAATTAAAGCTGTGGTACTTTCTGCCGCTATCTAGGAGGAAGATGACACCATAAAGCATTGTCACAGAATGATGCCTGTTTGTGTGTACAGAGTTAGGAGTGTTTATCAAGTAGGAATTGGATGTGCGTTCTACTTCAGCAAGAGTTTGGAGTGAAGGCCTTTCACACTGCATGTCCAAGCCGGCTCGCTTAAATGTCCTAACACCTGAATGAGTACTTTTCGTTTCTCTTTATGCATGCATCCTTATGCCTGAGTCAGTTTACACACATACCACCATATCTTCTGACTTTTTCTATCATGCTTTTCACTGTGGACTCCTCCATACCAGCATCCCATTTCCATTCCTCTTTAAATTATATTTCTTTACTGTGTACTTGTATGGAGGTCACAGGACAGCTTCTGGGAGTATGCTCTTTTCTCCTGCCATCTGTATGTAGTTCTCAGAGATAAACTCAGGTTGTCAGAATGAACAGCAAGCACTTTGACTTTCAGCTATTTCCACCAGCCTTCTGTTTTCTTTGTTGTTTGTTTGTTTTTAATATGTATCTTTAGCTGTCCTGGAACTCACTATGTAGTCAGGCTGGCCTCAAACTCAGAGATCCACCTGCCTCTTCCTCACAAGTGCTGGGATTAAAGGTGTGCACTACAACACTCAGCCTAGTTTGTTTTTGAGAGGGTATCTTACTGTGTATCCCTGGAGAGTCAAAACCTATTTTACAGACTAAGCTAACCTCAGATTTGGGGTCGTCTTTGGCCTCTGCTAAGATTATGGATGTGAGCCACCATGCCTGGTTCTGCCAGGCTCTCTTATGATTCTTCTCCCTCTCGAGGCTTCTCTGTCTCCCCTTGCTGTTGGCCCGAGTTGGCCTTGGCTATTTGAAGACTACTAGAGCTCTCAGGGGAGGTCCCAAGCATGAGTCCTTGGTTTGTAACTTCTGTCAAGGGACTCCCTAGTATTTTTAGGTTCTGACCTTGACTTTGATGTGAGCCTCACATAACCAGAGCTGCCTGTGGACCACAGGCGTCTCAAACCCAATATGTCCAATGCAAATGTGATGGTCTGCCTGGCTACCTACCTTCTCCTTCCTCAGCAACAGTCCCAGAACCAAAGTCCCTGACCTGGGTAGTCTAGATGCCTCCCTCTTTCCACTCTATTTTCCTCTTGTCAGACACCAAGTTCTGCTCATTTGCATCTTAAATACAATCAGTCTGCCCTCCTCTGTCTCTATCACTGCCTCATTCAGGCCTATGGTATCTTTTAACCAGACAACTGCAGTGGCCTTCTTCTAACTGGTCTCCCTACCTACAGTCTTGCCTCCAGCATATCCATCCTCCAATCCTGGTGCCAGAGTGATCTGAAACGCACATATGATCTTGCCACTCCCCTGCTTAAAACCCACCAACTGCAGTGGTTCTGTAACCACAGGGTAGCCTCTGACAAGGGCTGAAAGTAAGTTGTTACTGCTCCTCTCCTCTTCCTACTAATAAAAACACTAACAACAGCAGCTAATGTTGACCGAGCATTTCTCCCCATGCTTTCAAATGACTTACCATCCTTTTAAAAGAAATCACAGCCTCTTCGGTGTTGTCTGAATCGCACTGCTCTCCTTTCTAGGGATGAAGGAGAGTGGCAGAGAAACAGGTATGGGAGACAGGGAGATGTTCTGAGCCACAAGGACCTTACTGTGTGCTCTTACAAGCGACCATGCTGATTTAGCCCCAGTGATGAGTTACTAAGGGTCACCACACAGTTGCTAGGATAGACTAATAACCTATCAGTCCCAACAAGCACTGAGGGAGGTTATCACTCCTCCAGACCTTGACTTTGTTCATCAAGTACGTCATATGTTTGGGACCATCCTCAGTCTCCTGGGTACCAGAAAGGGAAGTGAAGGGCTGCTGAAAGTCAAGGTTAAGTCTGGGCTCCTTGGCCTACCATGAAAAACTGTCTGGCTCTGCCCATCTCTGCCACCTCCTATCATCCCTTTCTTTGAACTTTTCACTGTAGTACAAACCAACTGTATGTGACACTAACCATCACTCTCCCTTACTGAGGTCTGCTTTGTGCCAAGCACTGGACTAAATGGTTTCCTACAATGTCAGTACCTCAAGTGTGCCTCATGGTGGCCCTTTAAGGCAGGTCTTCAATCTCCCATCTTATTTATTTGTATTTTGGGGGTGGGAGGTGTGAAGAGTAGGGGTTGGTTTGAGTTGGGTGTTTTTTTGTATCTTTGTGGGTTTTTTTGTTTTGTTTTTTGTTTTTGATGTTAAGGGTTGAACCTCAAACCTCACAAATGCTAGATAGCACTCTTACCTCTGATAGACCTCAATATTTGAGGAAAGCAAAGTGCAGATGGCATGGCCCAGCTGAAGCAGCTTGGATGCACAGCCTCGTTGTACGTACCCATCAGTTTGCTCGACTTGTGCTGCCTTTGCCCAAGTGATGCCCACTCATTCCTCAGAGACCTGCCCCTGCCCCAGACAGTCCACAGTGCCCTGGCTTGGGTCAGTGAGCTGCTCCGGGCAGTCTCAGCAAGTAGGCAGCATCATTATGCTGGAACATATGGGGTGCTCTCTGAGTGTTCCTCAAGGCCTGGATCTAGGTCCAGTAACTTAGAACCACCCAGCTGCAAGTGCAGTGCCTGGCACCTAACATGCCTCCATCAGTGTGTGTGGAGTGAATACACTGAACCCCAGGTGCTGAGCCGGGAGGCTGTTCTGCTGACCACTTTTCCTGTCTTCACCTCTCTAGGCACAAAGCCAGGCTAATTGATCTCGGGAGAAGGATCCTTTCCCTTCCTGCTTGGTTCCACCTGCACCCTTTGACTTCCGGTGGAAACTGCTGTCCGATCCGCTACCTTGCCCACACTCTGGACATCTCTGCTCTCTCTGGCCCCTTTCTCAGCCCTCTCCACAGTCTGGGCCCTGTCCCTTCCTATGAGCCGTCTTTTCCAGCTTCCCCTGAGCCTTAGTTCTTTCACTGCACTTTTTTTTTTTTATTGTCCCAAAAAGTTCCCCTTTTTTTTTTTAAAAAAAAAATCTGTTTTTCTCTCTGTCTTCCCTCAGTCTTCCCAGCCAATAGCCCAATGTTGGGCTTTTCTCCACAGTGCTGTTTAAGCTGATTATTTTGTGTTGGAAAGCCCCAATGCCTTGCTTTAAGTTGTTAAAAATTCCTACCATCCCTAGCCAGAGTTTCTGCCATGAGTCCTGTCCTGCCTGGAAGCAGGGCTGTTGTGTCCCTGCACAAAGCAGCCCTCAGGCCTTCCCCAGCGTCCTCTCCACAGCCTTCCTTCACTTCCAAGTATCCTCTGCTTCTGGCAGCTATGGGACCCCTGCCCCTGGCTTCTCCTCCATGCTGTATGGAATGAAGATTGCCAATCTGGCCTTCGTCACCAAGACTCGGGTCAGGTTCTTCAAACTAGACCGCTGGGCTGATGTGCAGCTGCCAGAAAAGAGGAGAATAAAGCCAGGATCAAACATCAGCAAACAACACAGATCCCTGTTGGCTAGGGTCTTTCACGACAGGTGTGTAAGTGCATGTATGCCCTGTGAGGGGGCAGGGAGGGCAAGGGAATGGGATATCTGGCTTTAAAAACAATGGCTTTCCTTGGGCTAGGGTAAACCCCCACCCCCTCAAGGGAGGAAGAGAGGCAGGAAATTAATCCGTGGTAGAGGTAGTTCCCAGGCAGATCTGACACTTGACCTAAGCCTAAAACCTTCCCCGGGGCAACTTCAGTCCAAACTCCTCCCTTCCCATCTCCCCTTGCCTCCCATTCTCCCCAGGGCTGAATATCTTCATGGAAAGCATGGGGTAGACGTGGAAGTCCAGGGTCCCCATGAAGCCCGAGACGGACAGCTCCTTATCCGCCTGGATCTGAACCGCAAGGAGGTACTAACCCTACGGCTTCGGAATGGAGGAACCAAGCCTGTCACCCTCACTCATCTATTCCCACTGTGCTGGACGCCCCAGTTTGTCTTCTACCATGGAGAACAGGACCTGCCCTGCCCACTGGGCCCAGGTGAGTGGTCTTCTGTGGGGCGGTAGGCCTCGGGTGGTCTCTGTCCAGTGGGCTCCTTCCTTGTGATAGGGGTGCTGGGTTGGGTTGCTGCTTCACTCAGCTACCTTTTTCCAGGTGAAAGCTATGATCTCCATGTCTACTGTAAGACCAGCATTGTAGGTTACTTCCCAGCCACTGTCCTCTGGGAACTGCTGGGACCCGGGGAGTCAGGATCAGAAGGAGCAGAAACTTTCTACATTGCCCGCTTCCTGGCTGCTGTTGCCCACAGTCCCCTGGCTGCACAGTTGAAACCCACAACTCCCTTCAAACGCCCCCCTCGGCTCACTAGAAACTCTGTGTTGACCAACCGCATCGAGGAAGGAGAGAGGCCTGACCGGTAACTAGCTATGATGTATGGGCACTTGGGAAGACTGAGCCAGGAGACAGAGCCCGCTTCCCCATCTGCAGGTCCCTCCCTCCCCTGCGTCTCATCCCTTTCATATCAGAGGAACAAGCTGCATGAGAGTAGCAGATCCCAGCATAGTGTGAAGACTCTTAAGTTCACACTGGGTAGGGAAATGGCAGCGTGTTATGGACCTTTTCCAGGGGCTCTCGCACTCTCTCCATACACACATTCGTAGAAGGATAGACATTTTAAAATAATGAGTAATAAATGCAAACCATGTAATTAGGTCTTTATAGTTATATGTTTCTTTTGTTAATTATATGTATATATTTATATACATACAAATTGATAGCATGTGTGAGGCCCTGGATTATACCCCCAGCATCACAATGGGTGCATGCTTGTAACTCCACCACTAGGAACTGGAAAGCAGGAGTTAAAGGTCAACCCTGGCTAGTGATTGAGTTTGAAGCCAGCCTGTGCTATACAATAACCTTTCTCAAAAAAAAAAAAAAAAAGACAGACAAAGAAAAGATGTCTGAAAGATTATATACCAAAAAGTTAAAGTTGACTATCCCTAAATGATACGAATGTTACTTATTTGAAATATATATATGGCTTTGGTGTTGTTTCTTCAAAAGAGCATATATTGCTTTATATTTGTGTATTTTTGAGAGCCAGGCTATCCTGCAACTCATAAACCTTTTGTATTCTTTTCCACTGCTAAGTGCTGTCCTGTGCCACCAGCTCCAGCTCACAAAATATTTCTTTTAAATATTCCAAGTATTAGGCTTTACGAAAATAAGAGTGGTCTAACCTTGGACCAAGCAGCTGCATAAGCTAGGGAGTACTACATCTCTAGATGGCTGCTGACCACACCACAGAAGTCGTGGTAGAAATGTTTCCTGCAAGCTCCATGGGGGACATTTCCAGAGTCTTTGAAGATGAGGTGTTTCTGTGTTTAGGACATGCTTTCTTTCATCCCATAGAGCCAAGGGCTATGAACTAGAGCTAAGTTTGGCCCTGGGGACCTATTACCCACCCATCCGCCTCCGACAACTGCTCCCTACCCTTCTTCAGGGACCAAGTATCTTCACTTCCCCAAAGGAGGTCGCTGAGATCAAGTAAGTGCCAGCACTTGTGTGATTCTCCCTGTCTTCCTCTCTCTGCTGGTTCCTCCCTGTCTGTGCTCACTCATTAGTTCACCTTGAACAGTCCTTGGCACCCACAGCATGTTCAGTGGGTATGAATGAAAGGAGAACCCCAGAGCAGGGGGGGTTGTCTGACCCACCATGATCCTGCTGCAACTCAGCCATCCTTACCAGAGCCCAGTTGGAGACAACCCTGAAATCCAGGAACTATGAGGTGAAGCTCCGGCTACTGCTGCACCTGGAGGAGCTGCAGATGGAGCATGACATCCGGCACTATGACCTGGAGTCGGTACCCATGACCTGGGACCCTGTGGACCAGAATCCCAGGCTGCTTACGCTGGAGGTTAGGGCTCAGACCTGCTGTGGGGAGGGTGGGAAGGACGTAACAGGGTAAATAGGACAGTGCAACAAACATAAAAAATGCTTCCTATTTCAGAGGGTATGGACAAAGAGCAGGGTAAGATTCCTGTCCCCCAAAACACGCCAGAACAGGGCAGTGTGTTTTCTTTCTATTTTATTTTAGGCAGGGTCCCATGTAACCCAGGCTAGTCCTCTTGTGTCTACCACCCCAGTGCTGCGACTATAGGCATGGCTCACCATACCCAGTTCATATGGGTAGTGGAATTTTATAATCTAGATTTTTGCCACCAGTTGTGTGACATTGATGAGGCCCTTGTTTTCCCAGCTTTATTAGATAATTCTGAAACCCCTTTCAAATGTTCGCTTTTTGGTTTTTGAAATCTTATTTATTTATTTATTTATTTGTGTGTGTGTGTGTGTGTGTGTGTGTATAATATACGTATCATGCATGTGGAGGTCAAAGGACAGTTTTCAGGAATCAGTTTTTTTCTTTCCACCGTGTAGGTCCCAGGGATCGAACTCAGGTTGTCAAGCTTAGCAGCAGGCACCCTTACCCACTCAGCCATCTCACCTGCCCTCACATTTTGAATATATACACACAAACTCAGACTTACTTGTGAGACTGGCTTAATGCACAGGAGTATAGGTGAGAAGGGAGACAGCTAAGATGATGAGGGAAAGGTTATTACAAGACAAAGTTTGCACTGAGATGCTAAAGGCAAAACTGGAATTGAACTGGCCAAAAAGCAGCTAGCTGGCTTGGGGACACTGGCAGCATCTTAAAATCCTACCCTAGGGTTCTTGGATTCCTAGTCTAGATGCCTCTAGCAGCCCATGGTCCTTTCCCCATTCTTGCTTTGCCTTGTAGGACAGGAAAGCTGGGATGAACTGGTGCTGTGAGGCCAGAACCTGGGGCTAAGGCCCTCCAGTGGTCACCCATTGGATGGGAAACTTGCTTTTGTTCATACCCTGCAGGTTCCTGGTGTGACAGAGAGCCGTCCTTCAGTGCTGCGGGGTGACCACCTTTTTGCCCTTTTGTCCTCTGAGACCCACCAGGAGGACCCTGTCACCTACAAGGGTTTCGTGCACAAGGTGGAACTGGACCGTGTCAAGCTGAGCTTTTCTCCAAGGTGAGTGTTGGGAGAACCAAATCACCAAAGTGACCTCAAGGCTTGTAAGTCCTGGGCATAGGATAGGAGGTCTTGCTTTCAGAGAGGACTAGGACCCTGGGCACAGGGTTCACAAGCTGTGTGAATGGCTTCCTCTCCAGAGAACTTTGTAAGGACCCTTTGGGAAGGGGGAGGGAGCGGAATGGTGAGAGGTAGAGAGTGCTAACTTCTTTTTTGGTTTTTCGAGACAGGGTTTCTCTGTGTAGCCCTGGCTGTCCTGGAACTCACTTTGTAGACCAGGCTGGCCTCGAACTCAGAAATCTGCCTGCCTTTGCCTCCCAAGCGCTGGGACTAAAGGCGTGCACCACCACTGCCCGGCAAGTGCTGACTTCTTACTACCTACTCCATCTAACTACAACTTTCCCACTTAATTCTTTGCCCAAAGCCTCCTGAGCCGATTTGTGGATGGGCTGACCTTCAAGGTGAACTTTACCTTCAACCGCCAGCCCCTTCGGGTCCAGCATCGGGCCCTAGAGTTGACGGGGCGTTGGGTGCTATGGCCCATGCTTTTTCCTGTGGCCTCCCGTGGGGTCTCGCTGCTGCCCTCAGATGTGAAGTTCAAGTGAGACTGTGGGCAGGGGCCCTGGGGCTACTTGGGGGTGTGGATATTGGGAATGGATTCCCAAAGCCTCTTAGGATACTGGATGACTTCAAATTCATATTTCTGGACCCTTTGCCTTCCAGGCTGTATGATCGGAGTCTGGAGTCGAACCCTGAGCAGCTGCAGGCCATGAAGCACATTGTGAGGGGCACCACCCGGCCTGCCCCCTACATCATCTTTGGGCCTCCAGGTACTGGCAAGACTGTCACATTAGTGGAGGCCATCAAGCAGGTGAGACTGAAACGTAACCCCAAGGCCTGTACTGACTCTGGCAGCCCCAGCATATGTCTGAAATTTTACTACCTCCAGGGACCTGAATGTTCCTATACTTGAACAGTCACCCAAAGAGGAAGTAGGGAGTTAGAGTCGTTGTGACTGTTGAATGTTGGCATGTAAATATGCAGACATGAATTTACTGATATCCAGCACCAAGGTGCGATCAGGACTAGCAGGCGTCTGGGAGGCAAATGTAGTCTCGGTCCCCTGTCACAGAATGCGTCTGCCCAAACTATCTTTTTGTCTCAGGTAGTGAAGCACTTGCCCAAAGCCCACATCCTGGCCTGCACTCCATCCAACTCAGGGGCTGACCTCCTCTGTCAGCGGCTCCGGGTCCACCTGCCCAGCTCCATCTACCGTCTCCTGGCCCCCAGCAGGGACATCCGAATGGTACCTGAGGACATTAAGGTATGTGAGGAAGTACAGAGGGCCAAGGGACAATGGGCGCTTGGGAGGTCCTCAGAGCACTTAAAGACTTGCTGTGTGACTTTGGGTGGGTCAGGACCCCTCTGGGGACTTCAGTCTCCTTGTCTGCAAAAGGAGGGAGATAGGTAAATAAGTGGTCCAGAGCCAAGGGGAGACATGAGATAAGGAAGAGCCAGGCTGATTTCTGATGCTTTTGTAACCCACAGACCTGCTGTAACTGGGATGCTAAGAAGGGAGAATATGTGTATCCAGCCAAGAAGCACCTGCAGCAATATCGGGTCTTAATTACCACCCTCATCACTGCCAGCAGGTAAGGAAAGTATGGGATTTATGTCTTTAGTGCTAGGAAAAGTAATGGGGTGTAAGACTAGGGAGAGAGGAAGGGTTCCTGAGGGCAGGGTGAACTGAAGGGCCAGAGTTCAGGTTTGGTAGTTGGGTGCCTAGGAATGACCCCTGCTTGGCCTGACACTCCCAGGTTGGTGTCAGCCCAGTTTCCCATCGATCACTTCACACACATCTTCATCGATGAGGCTGGCCACTGCATGGAGCCTGAGAGTCTGGTGGCCATAGCAGGTGAGGGGGCTCAGGATGGGTTACAGGTGCAGCACCCCACACCAATTTGGTAATCCCACCATTTAATCTTTCTCCCCCTGCCTCCCAGGACTGATGGATGTCAAGGAAACGGGTAATCCTGGAGGGCAGCTGGTGCTGGCAGGAGACCCTCGGCAACTGGGGCCTGTGCTTCGGTCACCACTAGCCCAGAAGCATGGACTCGGCTACTCTCTGCTAGAGCGCCTACTCACCTACAACTCCTTGTATAAGAAGGGCCCCAATGGCTATGACCCCCAGTTCATCACCAAACTGCTCCGCAACTACAGGTATCACTGCCTCCTCCTCCACTGCTCATCTCACGTTGTCACCGTGGCTGTTAGCTGGAAGAGGGCCGTCTTTTTGTAGCCCCCTTTACAGCTGCTTGTTTTAGGACTCAGCAGGTTTTTGGACCAATGGTGTATCTGTGTATTGAAGGTCATCAGACCAGAAAGTGTCTAGATGGATCTAAGTTTCTGTGCAATCCAACAAGAAGTAAGGAAGGCAGGGAGCATGCAGCTTTCCTTAAAAGCACTGTTGGTTGAATTACATGTACAGCCAAGGCCTTTATCCCTGTGATTGTTATTTTTTGGTTGGTGCTAGGATCTGAGCACAGGACCTGGCGCGTTGCTTCCGAGTGTCTAATGTACATCCCCAACGCTCCTCTTCCCTTTGAGACAGCCTCTGTCTATATTGCCTAGGCTGATCTTAACTCTTGGCTCAAGCAATCCTGCCTTAGGCCCCTGAGTAGCTAAGACTGTAGGTACATACCACCCTCACCATCTTATATACTTGTAGTGAGTTTAGACGTCAGTGCTTAGGTGAGTTGTAGACCATCAGTGTGAGTCTGGTAAATGTGGGTCTGGACAAATGCTCAGCTCTTAAGAGTCTTTTATATTTTTTTTTAATTTTATTTTATTATTATTATTTTTTGTTTGTTTCTTTTTGTTTTTTCTAGCCAGGGTTTCTCTGTGTAGCCTTGGCTATCCTGGAACTCACTCTGTAGACCAGGCTGGCCTCGAACTCAGAAATCTGCCTGCCTCTGCCTCCCAAGTGCTGGAATTAAAGGTGTGCGCCACCACTGCCCAGCAGCTCTTAAGAGTCTTACAGAGAACCAGTGTTCAGCACCCATGTCAGGTGGCTTAGCCTCCTACCTCCAGCCCCTAGAGGATCTGACACCTTTGGCCTCCTTGTTCACAATGCACACACCCACACACAACACACCCACACATACACATAATTTAAAATAATAAAAATCTTTTAAGAGTCTGGTAAATGTAAACTGGACCATGGCTGCACATGCCTGCAATCCCAGCATTTGGAGGTTGAGCGAGCGAGACAGGAGGATTGAGAGTTTAAGGCTAGACTGGGCTACACAGAAAGACACTCTCGCCAGGCGGTGGTGGCACACGCCTTTAATCCCAGCACTTGGGAGGCAGAGGCAGGCGGATTTCTAAGTTCAAAGGTTCGAGGCTAGCCTGGTCTACAGAGTGAGTTCCAGGACAGCCAGGGCTACACAAAGAAACCCTGTCTCGAAAAACCAAACCAAAAAAAAAAAAAAAAAGAAAAGAAAGACACTCTCAAAAAGGCAGGATCAAGATGGGTGGGTTAAAGAACAGCTATACATACCTAGCAACCCAAGTTGGATTTCCCAAACTGGTGAACCCACTACAGATGGAAGGAGAGAATTGACTCCTTAAGGTTGACCTCTGACCTCCACACTCCTGGCATAGCATGACTGCCCACACCACTCAATGGTAATTGTAGAAGTTCTGTAGATGCTTTTGTGTCCATACTTAAGTTTTCGGGGTGTAATGTAATTAAACGGTGATAATGGATGATAATTTGTTTTCTGGACTATCTTTATTTGGTAAACTTAAGCCTGAGAATGAGCCCTAATTTCTGGTTTTTTAAAAGGAATTTGGCTGGTGACTGAGAGCCCTAGCCTGGCTGCTTATTAGAGCCGCATTTGGCTCTGCTCTCTGCGGTTTGCAGCACCTGGCAACAGATACTGATGAATGTTACTGGGCATGTCCGGAGGGCCAGAGGCTGGGGCGGGGAACACATGACGCGGAGCTCCCTAAGAGGTCTCTGTTCTTGCTCTTTCTCCTCCTGCCTCCTAGGTCTCATCCCACCATCCTGGACATCCCTAACCAGCTGTACTATGATGGAGAGCTGCAGGCCTGCGCAGATGTGGTGGACCGAGAACGGTTCTGCCGCTGGGAGGGACTACCTCAACAGGTGAGACCTAGCAGGGCAGGGCTCCCTCCTCCTGGAGCCACCTCTGATTCCATAGCTGGCTTGGATGGTGGGAGGCAGGGAGCTGAGCCTGAAGGTTTTCTCTCATTTCATGGTGTCCAGGGCTTCCCCATCATCTTCCATGGTGTAATGGGCAAAGACGAACGGGAAGGCAATAGCCCATCCTTCTTCAACCCTGAGGAGGCTGCTACAGTGACGTCATACCTGAAACAGCTCCTGGCCCCTTCCTCCAAGAAGGGTAAAGCCCGCCTGAGCCCCCGAAGTGTGGGCGTCATCTCCCCGTACCGGAAGCAGGTCAGGCCCTCAATCCAAGCTTAGGGCTTCCCGCTTTGCTCTCCAGCACCCTGGCCAGCTGCCTGCCTCTGCCTCCCTCTTGTGTGAGGGTGAAGGCATGAGAGAAGGGCACCTATCCCTCCCTCCAGGTAGAAAAAATCCGTTACTGCATCACAAAACTTGACCGAGAACTTCGAGGACTGGATGACATCAAAGACTTGAAGGTAACCGAACTCTTATCTCTACCTGTGCTGTGTCCTGTGCCACCCTGTTTACTCAAATTGGAACTGGGGTTTCCCCCAGGTAGTTCTGAGGTGGAACCTGGCAGCCTGCCTGTTTAACAAGCACCTGTGTCTGTCTTATTATCAGTCAGGTGTGTGGCCTCTGGCCTAAGGATAAAGTCCAAACTCCCTAGACCAACCCCACCTGTCATGTGATAACACCTGTCATGTGATAAGGTCTTGAAGTTTAACTGTTCTGGAGAAATGGCTCAACACTGGTTCAGATTAAAACCATTTGGAGAAGTTTAATGATGCCGCTTCTTAGATCCCACCCAGCCGGTTAGCATGCAGAGCCAGGGCACTGGTGAGGTTTTTGTTACTGTTTTGTTTTGTTTTTTTTAAATCATCCACAAGTGATTCTGACGTGTGGAGCCAGGGTTCATAAGCTGCCACTTTATGGTTTACAGGCCCCTCCCTTGGAAATTCTGACCAAATGGGTGGCTGTCTCCGGGGATGAGAACTCTCTCTGCTCAGTTCATTCTTTGCAATGCCATTTGCTTTGCTTTCAACAGTTTTCAGGCCCCCCACCCTATAATTGGCTCTGTCCTCCAGGCCCCCACAACAGGCCTCCTGTCCTCTTCAGGGCTCTGAGATCCTCTCACTCATCTCCAAGTACCCAGTGACCCATCTGTACCTCCCTGGCAGCTTTGTCCCCTAGAGCAGGTCTGTCACAGTGATTCCTCTTAGGCCTACCTGATCTAAAGTCCTGCCTCTGCACTCTAGGTGGGCTCGGTGGAAGAGTTCCAAGGGCAAGAACGCAGTGTCATCCTCATCTCCACCGTCCGAAGCAGCCAGAGCTTTGTCCAGCTGGACCTAGACTTTAACCTCGGTTTCCTTAAGAACCCCAAGGTTTGCAGGCTTGCGGGTGGCTTGAATCCTTCCACAGGGCCTGTCCCTTCGATGACATCACCCTTCTTCCTTCCAGAGGTTCAATGTTGCTGTGACCCGGGCCAAGGCTTTGCTCATCGTAGTGGGCAATCCCCTCCTCCTAGGCCACGACCCGGACTGGAAAACGTAAGCATTCCCAGCCTCTCTTAGTGACCACGAGCCCCAGTCTAGGGCAGGTGTGTCCGTGCTAAGCTCTGCCTCACTACCCTTTAGTCCTCCGATCTGCTGGTGTTCGCAATGCCCGCCCTGTGGAGCCACTCTGCCTCAGATGGTAGCAGTGCTGAGCGTATGCCTCCAGACTCCGCCCCTCAGCACAGCTTCCCATGGATGCCAATGTTCTGTACCCCACAGGTTCCTGGAGTTCTGTAAAGAAAACGGGGGATATACCGGATGCCCCTTTCCTGCCAAACTGGATCTGCAGCAGGGCCAGGACTTGCTCCAAGGGCTGAGCAAACTCAGCCCCTCTACCTCAGGTATGGATGGGCCATGGTGGGCTAGGCAGGCGAAGTGTGGGAAGAGGTCAGGATAACCAACCAAGTATGTCTTTCTTCCCTAGGGCCCCGCCGTCACCAGAATTTCCCCCAGGAGCGGGAGGGTGAAGGGTGCCTGCCCTTACAAGTGGAGCCAGAGTGGAGAAATGAGCTCTGAGGGCACAGTGCCCGCCTTCTCACACCAGCCAAGCCTTATTGCTGCCTATCCCTGACCCAGAACCCAGCTCACCTGTCCCTGCACGAGATGGGAAGGCTGGGAAGTTTACAGCCCAGACCATTCTGCCCCTTCCTCTGCTAGGGAAGACAACCCAAGCTGCTAAAACTTGGAGGAATGGGGCGGAAGAAAGCTTTTGTACCTTCTCCTTTGCAGTGCTGGGGACTGAACCCCAGAGCCTCAAATATGCTAGGCAAGCGCTCTACCGCTGAGCTGCTCTAAGAAAAACAAAATGCTGTTCTATGCAAAAGCCTCTTGCTTATGTCTCATCAGCCTGGTCTTGCTTCCTGTGCCCCCAAGATGACCCTCCAGGAGGGTCTCTGCCCAGAGCCACGCCCCTTCATAGCTGCTTTGAGGGGTGGAAACCCAGAGGACAAGGAAGCCACCCACAGGCTTCTATGTTTAGCCAATAGTACAGACCACTCCCCTCACCCACCCAGGCAGTCAGCCAAACATGACCTCATCCTTTAGACTCCACCCCGTCCCCCGTTGCAGCCCCCAGCCCTGCCTCTGCAGACAAGGGCCCAGCCTAGCCAGCAACTTGGAAATGAAGAGAAAAAGATGGGACTCCAGGCTCACAGCCAAAGTAGGCCAGTAAAGACAGGAAGCTGCCACACATGGTGCAACCTTTGACCTTTATTCATGTCCTGCCCTCCCACCGAGTAAAGTCAAATACAAGGCTACTACCCAAAGCAGAAACCCCAGTCCCTATCCTAGACTCCTCCTGTGAGCCACAAATATATAAAGTGCTGGTGTGTAATATGGGGAAGGCCAAAGGGACTAAGAGCCCCACCCCTGGACCAATGCATCGGGAGGAGCCCTGCTCAGGAAGGGCAGGGCACCAGCCTGGTTCCCAGAGGCGGGGAGGAAGGGCCCAGCAGCCACCACTTGGGGCTGGGGAAACTCATGCAGTCCTGGGCAGAAAGGAACCAAAATAGAAACTGGCAGCATGGAGTCCTACAAGGATGGAGTGGGGGGAGGGTAAATTGTACCCCTGTGAAGGGAAGGGTGGGAGGATTGAGGAGGCTTTGGGGAATTCAGAGAATGGGACAGCCCCTCCGGCGCTTATTCTTCCGGACCTGTAGGCCCGCTCGAGTGGCCATCTCAAATACCTCCCGCACCCCTTCCTTAGTCTTGGCTGAGCACTCAAGGTAGCCGAAAGCACTGATCCTGTTTGCCATGTCCCGGCCTTCCTCAGATCGAACAGGCTCCTGATAAGACAAGATACAGGGTCAGAAGAAGGGGTGACTGAGCATCCTCCAGACTGGCCCTGCAGAATTCTTAAGTCCAGCTACCACAGGCAGTTTCCAGGCTAGGGACATAAGATCCAGGTTTCCATTTCAGAATTCAGTCTGTTCCTCCTCCCACCCAGCCTTACCCCTACAGTACCCATTCCTCCTCTGAACAAGTACCTACTGCCCAGCTGACTCCATCCTCCCTCTTCTCTAGTCCAGTGGTTCTCAGCCTTCTAGTGCTGTGACCCTTTAATACAGTTCCTCATGTTGTAGGGACTCCCCCACTATAAAATCACTTTTGTTGTTACTGTTATGAACTGTGATGTAAATACCTAATATGCAGGATATCTAACATGCATGACCCACAGGGGTCATGACCTACAGGCTGAGAATCACTGCTCTAGTCCATCCTACATAGCTATCAGAATACTTCTAACATACAGACTGGACGTCTGCCCCCAGTTAAAACCTTAATTAGCCTCCCAGGATAGCCTACCTCCTTAACTTCCTCTAAATAAAGCAGTCCACTGGCTAGAGTCATTTAGCAAGTCTTTGAGTACTCACCCCTCTGAGCCTTCTTCCGGCAGTGTATAATGCCTTCCCTCCCCAAGGCACTCTAGCACACAGCTCCCACACCCTCACTTTAAGATGTGGATGAGCATGGTTCTTCATCTTAGTAGCCCCAACCAAAAAAAAGCAAATGCCCTTAGGCATGTCAATTCTCTGACACTTCAGTTACTGGAGGACCCTTCTAGTTCCTCCCAACATTTGGACAGGACAGCAGGTGAACATCACAGTCTGGCTAACACTGGCTATCAGCTGTTTCCCCAAGGAGCTTGCCTCACCGCCAGGGCCGCCCCACCCACCTGTTTCATCTTGGCCAGCTCTCTCCTGGTGTGCTCATCTTGCCTCAGGTCCTTTTTATTACCCACTAGGATGATGGGCACATTGGGACAAAAGTGCTTCACCTCCGGGGTCCACTTCTCAGGAATGTTTTCTGCAGAGATATCCCCAAAGTGTATAGATTTAACAACAGAAGCCTGGTCTTCTAGAGCAGTCACGCAGTCTACTGAACAGGCAGTACCTTGCATAGCTCAAAGCCCCTTACAGTGGACACTTCCAACCCCAAGGGCTACTGTCTCCATAGCAAAGGAAACCTGCAAGACCTACATGCTCCCAAGACTCCTCCACAGCCTCTGAAGATGGCAGGTACCAAATGTTCTCAGTCCCTCTAAAGCCTTACCCAGGCTGTCAGGACTGTCAATGGAGAAACACATGAGGATGACGTCAGTGTCCGGGTAGGAGAGAGGCCGCAGGCGATCGTAGTCTTCTTGCCCTGCTGTGTCCCACAGAGCCAGCTCCACCTGACACACATGGCTATTAAGCAGCTAGCCTGAGGGCCCCAACCCTACCACCCTGGGGCCCTCTGAAATCACTCCAGTGAACTAGCTGAACATCTTTTTACCAGTCACTGTGTGCTGGGTTGTATTGACCAGTCACAAAAACAATGATACCCTTTTCTGAAATCTAAGATGGGTTTGATCTTTGTGTAGTATGAGCTGCCACTGTCAGCAGCATTTAGTTCTTAAGGCAACCTTTTGGGAGAGGTCTTGCCCTCATTCACATTTTGCAGTGGGGAGAGGTTAAGCCCAGAGGCAAAAGGGACTTGGCTCAGATCCCAGAGCCAGTATGTGGTTGAACCAGATAGTACATCCAGGTTTTCTAGGGCTACAATTTCACTTCCTAGCTTCTGTTGGTTCCAGCAGGGAAATAAATATGTAGGTGGGTGGTAAGAAAGGACATCTATAGGCCCTATGTGACTGGGGGACAGGATTCCCAGGCAGGAAAGCAAGCAATTAATTCATGGCCTTCACCTGTTTGCCATCCACTTCGATGTCAGCTATGTAGTTCTCAAAGACTGTAGGGACATAGACCTCTGGAAACTGATCTTTGCTGAAGACAATGAGGAGGCAGGTCTTCCCACAGGCACCGTCACCCACAATCACCAGCTTCTTTCGGATTGCAGCCATGGCTGAAACTGGCAGGCAAGAGGCAGTGGGGATTTGAGGAGGGGAAAACAAGTAAATCTTAAAACCACTTTTCTAGTCACCCACCCCTCAAGCTTGCCTAGAAACCACAGCATCCAGCAAAGGAAGGGAAGGGGGCTTGCCAAGGCATATTCTTGCCAAGAACAAATCCTACAGGCAAAAGACCTTGGAATGCTGGTCAGGTCTTCCTAGATGCATTAGAATTAATCAGGAGAAGTACAGGACCCAGGACACCTGAGAAGTGCTCAGGTGAACCTCCTAAAGACCTAGATTTATCTGCCTTGCCTATCAGTTTTGTTACCAGGATTTTGACAGTATTAATAATCACTAAATGCAAAGCAGAATAGATTGTCCCTCATTAGCGTTCATGTCTGCCTGGTAACCAAAAAAAGCCAGTTATAGGTGTTAGGATAAAGCAAGGAACACTTATAGAGCTCCTAGGTGTTTGTCTCTCCCTGGACATGCGCATACTTTGTTAGGTATTCTGAGAAAAATCTTCAGATCTCCAGCTGCCTGTTAGGTGGATGGTGGCCTTCCCATTTGAAAACAAAATAACAAAAGCCTTTATTGGGGGAGGCATATATGCATGTGGTGGTCAAAGGACAGCTTTGTAGTCAGTCTACCTTTGCATGGGTTCCTGGGATCAAACTCAGGTAATCATGCTTGCTTAGCAAGCACCTTCGCCCACTGATCCCTCTCACTGACCCCAGGCCTTGCTACTTTGACAAAAGTAGGAAACTGAGGCTCAGTGAGGTTTAGACAAAGTGCAGGGATAGCTCTCAATGCAGGGCTTTGTGATTTCGTCCATCTAGCCTACATGGCACTTCACAGGTGAAAACAGAATCGGAGAAGCTAAGCCAGAGGCCAGGGAAAGCAGTAGGCTGGCCTCCCTGACCCACCCCATCCCTTCCCCAAAGTCTCAAGTCACACAAAGAAGGCTCAGTCCTGGCAGCTCACGGTCAGGCAGCAGCCTGTGGGCCTCCCCCTCCCCTTTCTTGGGCCTGGCAGCAACACTCGGTCACTCAGCCCCTGACAGGGTACAATGACCACACTGTGGGGAGCCACACATCTATCACAGCATTGCTGTGACTGAGCTAAACCCACTTGGGAATCACCTCCACCCACTTTCTGGGACAGCCCCTTCCTCCTTGTGACCAGCTGACCCTTAAGTCCTGCAGACACCTCCCTGTGACTCAAGGTAAGGAGTCAGCTTCCCAGAGTTTATATGTGTCCTACACTCCAGCACACATGAACAAGCAGTTCATACCAAGGGGAGCTGACCAGGTCAGTGAGGTCTCCAGGCCTACACAGCCTGGGAGAGACAGTACCAGCTATAGAGTAGAGAAGAAGTGAAGGTTGTGAGGGAGGAGGGCCCAGGCCTGGGCTGGGAGGAGCCTCAAAAGAAAAGACTAGTGAGGATCAGTCTAAGCTTTGACCAGGCAGGGAGCAGTTAAGAAGGGGACAGTAACCTGATCTCAGCCCCAAACTTGGCTTTTCCTTCCAGCCCCATATCCTGTCTGGCTCCACTGAGCTCCTCCACTCCCTACATACCACCACCTCAAACCCCGGCCTGGGCCTGCCTTTTAGGAAGCCGAGTACTCCAGCCCCAGGCTGATTCTTCAGCATCAAGTCTCCTGGATGGTTCCCCCAACCCCTACACAACACACACACACACACACACACACACACAACTGGGATATGAGGAAAGAGGACATGAGTCACAGAGAATTTATAGGAGTTGAGTATGCACAGCCGTATTTACCACCCTCCACCTCAAGGGGTTTTCCCTCATACCCCCAAAAGACTGGGAAGAAGGCGTATCTACACATATCTCTTTCAAAAGTGAGATCTGAGAGGTTACCCAGGTAACCCACAGGATTTCTTCCAACTCTCCCACCTACTCCCATTAATTCAACCAGTCTAGCTGTATACAGGCTGGCTGAGACAGCCCCAACCCAGGGTGGGCAGTGTCGATGGAGCGTGATCACTCCAACGCTAAACACTAGTCACGTCCCCATGCATGTGCCACGGCTGTCCCACAGCAAAAGGTGGCTGGGCATCTGATGGTGGGAGGCAGAGGCCGGAACTTCGTGGCTGGGTTAGAGCCCCCAGCTCAGAAGATTTTGCATCTAGGCTCTGCTCAGGCCAGAAGAATTGGGGACTCGGGCCAAGCCAGGACGTTGGGCCCACGGCCAAAATGGCATGGATGGCCTGGCTAACACTCCCTGTGAAAGGCGGCTCCAGAGAAACTGCCCCACTAACCCTAAGAGAGACAACGAAACGTCACACAGGGCCCTGAGAAGGGTCTGGAACTTCTGGGACCTTCCCTAGAACAAGACACTAGCCCTCCTTATTATCCTCTTGATATTTCAGGTGATCCAACAGGCCTTTGTACTCTGCTCCCCTGAGATCTAGGTGATCACTCTTCGGGCAACACCTTTTTCTTAACTTTAAAGCCAGTAGTGAAGGAAGAGCTGGGCCCCAGCTTTCCGCCCAACCCCCTAACACTCCCAAACCTCCCAAAAGGGTAGGAGGCAGAGTTGGGGACTGGGGTGTTTTGTTCTTTTTTTTTTTTTTTTCCCTTCACTCTCAGACGCTCATACACAACACAGGAGCGGGATCTTTCCCAGTCTTCTCAACCTCTTAGCTCAGATCAGCTCCAAAACTCGTCTAGGGCGGCGTCCAGACCCGCCAAGCAGTGGCAGCCCCCAATAGTCACATCCCGCCCCTATTCCCGCCATTCCCCATCCCAGGCCAGAACTCCCACCCCTAGCCAGCCTGAGGCCCTGTTTCTTACTCCCCGCCCGGAACTGGGGCGTCTGGGTTGAGTCGCTCACGGAGATCCAAGTGCGTCCCTGGCCCAGCTAGGGAAGTCCGGAAAGGCAAGATTCAGAAAGGGAAGAGGCTCTGGGCTACGGTTCGAGAGCTCAGGAGGCGAGAGCGCCTGCGGGGCGTTCTCCCATGCCTGTCCCGGAACCCCCTCCTGAGCCACTCCCGGAGCGATCTGGGAACTGAGAAAGTGGTCTCCTCCGAGGTCAGTTCCCACGACGCCTTGCCACCCACCAGCTGGGGCCCCCGGTACCTTCTGCTCCGCCGCCTCCAGCTGCGCGGCCGGTGCCGGAGGCTGAGACTGACCCGGGCCCCGCCCCACTCTTCAGCACCGCTCCGGGGCGGGTCCGTCAAGGGGAGGGGGGTCGACGGGGCCGGCCCTTAGCTTGGCCCGCCTCCGCTCTGGGCCCCAGGCAGCCGCAGGTCACCCCCGCAGAGGACCTAGCATGGGGCGTGGAGCTGGAGCTGGAGGGTCCATGCCTGGAAATGTCTGGATTGCTGGGTGGTGAGCAGGTGGGACCTCGGAGGGCTCGGCCTCTGCCCCACTTCCAACCCATAGGGGTGGACCCGCTTCGGGAAAGTTGAGCGGCTCCCAGGGTGGGGTCAGCGAGGGCCACTGCTGCCCTCGCGTGGCCAAGCAGCCCTCGAAGCTCCAGTATCTCCTACACCTTAGCCGTGACCGAGGGGACGGGTTATACAGAAGCTGCCCACTCTCTTCTCCAGGAATCACTGCAAAATGTGCAACGTGACGCTATCCGGAGCCTTGGAGGCCTTTTGTGATCTACAGTCCCAGCCATCATCGCCTTACATGTCCCTTCCTTCCTTCGCAGGGAATTTCCCTACGTCCTGTTAAGAGCACACTCCTGGAAGTGCTTCCGTGTCCTCAGCTGGAAACTGACCTCATACTCCTATTGTATTGTTGTGCTGTTGATCCCAATCTGACGAGTTACTTACCTGATCGTATATCTCCTTCCTTATAAAGGGCCAAAGTGGGTGTATAAGGAAGTCTACCAATATTTTATTTGCTAGTGCTAGATATTTTAAACACACAATCTCTAACTCTGGAATAAGTTCACGTGTTCCCTTTTGCCTGCAAAGCAAGTGATGCCCAGAGAAGTGGTTTCTCCACGGTTTGTGACAGCAGGAATTTACAGTGAGGTGAGCCATGATGACACCCAAGAAACAAAGGCAGATGGATCTCTATGAGTTAGTTCCAGGCCATCCTAGGCTAAATCAATCACTCAAATTTACAGTCAGGCCTGTGGGGCACCCAGGCAGGTACTGGCTCCCTGCTGCCTGCCACGCTCCCCCTCCAACCTGCCCTCTGCACCATCCAACCAACCTCTGCTCATCATAGATTTGCCAGAATAAATGCATGTCATATGGAGTCTACTGCAGGTGCAGTTGGTCTGGTGGTTCATGTCTGTAATCTCAACACACCGGAGGGAGCAGAGTTACCACAAATTCCAGCCCAACATAGACTGTGGAGTGAAGCTGTCACAGATCCAGGCAGACACATATATAGACACTCAGGGTTGGAAGCATTTGATAAATCAGATAGCTGAGGTGAAGGGCACTTTGGCCACCAGGCCTCTGAATTCACTTAGTAAACATCGATTGAATGTGAACTGAAAGCTATGCACTAACCATGAATTTCTGCCTTCAGATAACTTACAAAACATACATAAAAATAAACAAACTTACAGTCTAAATGAAGAACACAGACAATCAAATATAGCTAACAACTCTTGAAGCTTTATTACATGAACCTTGCCCGCCCCACCCACACTATGTTTAGTTCTTACAAGGCAGTATTGTTATCTACATTTTACTGAGACATGGAGGCTCAGAGAAGTTACAGTGTCCTGGGGTCAAAACACTCAGACTTAAGAGTCCCTGCTTTTGGGGCTAGAGAGATTGCTTATGGTTAAAAGCACTGGCTGCTCTTCCAGAGGACCTAAGTTCAATTCCCAGCACCCACATGGCAGCTCACAACTGTCTGTAACTCCAGTTTCAGGGAATTCCAGTTCCAACACCCTCATACAGACATACATGCAGGCAAAACACCAATGCAAATTAAAAAAAAAAAAAGAATTCCTGCCCTCAATAGCTACTTCCCATTGGCTCCTCCTATAGACAGTTATAATCCTAGAGGTAATTGCCTTGGCAGCATACAGGAACTGTAGGATACTCAGTCCTGGAGAACAGATGAAATAGTCAAGAAAAGGTAGTGTGAGATATAAAATAAGTTGGAGCTATGACAAGCCACAGAGTTTGGAGGCAGGAGGTGGTAAAGCTAGAGAAACAGTAGCTGGATCACATTATGAAGTTTCTTAGCTCAGGACTTTAACCTTAGTTCTGTTCTGGGCATAACAATGAGTCACTGGAGTTAGGAAGTTGGTATAATAATGGGCTAATGTGGTGATGAGGAAGGCAGAAAAGAAATAATGGTAAATATGAAAGATCTTATAAATAATCAACAGCATAGTCACACATCCCTTAATAGAGATGTTATGAGAATTGTTGCTATGGAATTTCATTATTGTGTGAATAGCAGTAAGTATACTTACACAGACCAAGTTAGTACAGCCTAGGACACAGCTCGGCTACATTGTGTATACCATCATGTAAGAGATGGTACAGCCTAGGTCACAGCTCGGCTACATTGTGTATACCATCATATAAGAGATGGTACAGCCTAGGACACAGCTTGGCTACATTGTGTATACCATCATGTAAGAGATGGTACAGCCTAGGTCACAGCTCGGCTACATTGTGTATACCATCATATAGACAGCTGATTTCCTGAAACATTACATGGACTACATGACTAAAGTAGCCCAGAATTGTGAAGATACATAGCCAGGTGTGATCAACTGCTGGATTACTAATTTGAGCAGCCATGATTGTGCCCACTGAAAGGATGAAGCAGGAGAATTATTATTTATGGAGTAAATTGTGAATTCAGTTTAAGGTGTGTGGATTGTAAGCACCAGAGTTCTGTGGAGAAGATGGCTGAGAGATAGCTGGCATGTGTGGGCTCAAAGCTCAGCAAAGGTTTGGGCTAGACACCCAGGCTTGGCAGACATCCACAGATGGGGCCACTCGTGGTATGTAGAGTGGGAAAAGGGACAGCAGAAGAATCTGGGCAAGCTACATTTTTAGGAATATTTTGTTGTTCTTTCCATTGCCCACTTTTCAGGTTCTGGTCAAAGCAAATAATGACACACGCATTCATCCATCTGGTTTATTTGCCAGTTGCTGTAATTTTGGATCTAGTGGGCATCCCTTTGTCAAACGGCCACTTGAGAGTCAGGGATACAACTTCTGTGTTTGGGATGGAGAAGGGTGGTAATAGAGACGATGGGGTGGCAGTGAGAGAGATGGGGCTGAGCCCATCAGGAGTAACTGCTGCCTGGCCCTCCCAGGGGGATGACGAAGACCGAGATGTCATCCCCGGAACCCAGCTTGTTGTTTGGGAGACGCCAGCCACGGTCCCGGGGGATTCCCCGGGCCCCCAGGACCAGAGCTTGGGCCAGAGCTGTATACCTGCCAGAAGTACATGTGTACATTCATGTACCAATACGTATATGAGAAGACAGATACACAGGCCCATATGTGGGTCTCCAGTCTTTGTCTCCCTTTGTCCCTTCCTTCACCAGGACTACCCCCCAACACCTTGCCAGGCAACCCCCTACCTGCTGGGATCATTGGGTTCATAGGCTGACAGCACCCTGTCCACAGTGGCAGCTACCTCAGAGTCATTGGTCACATCCCACAAGCCATCTGTACCCAGGACCAGCACATCATCTGGACAGTGTTCATACTGTGTCAGATCATACACTCGTACCTGGTAGGCAAAGAAAGAGAGGACTGAAGTGTTAAGGAGCAAGGGAGGTTGGAGATCAACGGGCCCTGGGTAAAAGCCAGTCGGAGCCTCCTAAAGGAAAGAAGGCGTGCTCACTTCAGGAAAGCAGGAGAGGAAAGGCTTGATGGGCAGAGTTGAACTGGAGACTTTAAGGTTGTGGTCTCCCAAGCCCCGTGTCACCCCGATGGTAGCCATTACCCGGGCCTGGGAAAATGAGAAAGAACACCGCTATTTAGTCCCTCTCTCAGACTCACTGAAACCATAGAATCCTCCCACACATACTGCTTGGTGAAACCTCCACCTCCCTGGACAAGCTGTGATGGCTCTTCCTGCCCTCTCCCACCTCTACCTCAGGGTTTTACCTTTTTGCCCTCCCCACAGACCAGAGGAAACCTGAGATCCTCCAGCTCAATCTTTTTGTAGGCCCTGAGGAAGGAGGAGTAGAGAACGCATCACCCAGGTGGCAAAGCAAACCCCACACACAAACCCTTCCAGAAAGGGCCATCTTTCCCAACTTCCAGCCTGATCAGCTTCCAGCTTCACCCAGCTTCCAGCTTCCACCTTATTGCTGCTGAGGGACTGGTTGCCTTGCAATGGGAACGGCCCCTGCTCTGAGGGAAGTTACCAGCCAGTCATATTCTGGTCCCTGTACAGCATCCTCTGCCCTAGTTCCTTGGGTTGAACTCTTCGGGGAAATTCAAGGTGAGTGAACTCACTGCCCAGCAGTTCTGGTTTCAGGAAGCCCTGAGGTTGGGAGGGGCCAGATGGGAGAGAGGCCATTTCATTCATATCACACCCTTATACAACATATGGCTATTAAATTATAACAGATCCTTAAGGTTTACTGCAGGCCACACACTCCTCTAATATTAATATGAATGAACTCATTCACCACTCAAAGGCCAGTGAAGCACAAACCATTGAGTAAGGAACTTGACGGGGGTCACACAATTAACAATGTAGGATTCATCCCCAGAAATCAGGATAGAGAGACCACACAAGAGGATGCACCAAGATAACACGCTTGCTCTGGCCTTTGTTATTCCCAGCCCCCACCTTCCTTCCTGGGGCTACAGTGATAGCCATGCTCCTTCCTGCTGCATCAACCCTCCAGCTCATCCAGCACTCCACACTCCACCCAGCACCTTCCCAGGAAGTTCCCAGTGGGAAGCTTTGAGAGGCTTGAGAGGAAAAACTAGGTAGGGATAGGGACTTTAGCCCCTACTTACAAGCAGCTGCAGACGCTGGCGCTCTGTCTCTGGTGTGAACTCCCGGGACATTGGAATGATTTCACCATTCCGGACAATGATGGCCCTGCCCAGAGACAGACAGGATTTGGACCTGGCTTTCACGGTCTAAGTGGAGAATTCCATGCAGGAGGACCAGGCCCTCCCCATAATGAACCTGATGATTCCTTCCTGGATCCTCATCCCCTGTGGAGAAGTCCAACCTTTCCTTATATCTATCATCTTACTGATCACTGTAGTCTTTAATGCTTAACCCACCACCCCTCACTCTCTGCATTCCCCTCATCCTGGAGAGTGTCGCCCCTTATTCGGCCATTCTCAAAGCCCTCTTCCCACTCACCTGCTGTCACCTGCATTAGCCACATACATCTTGCCTAGCAGGTACACCACCACCAGTGCACAGCAGCCCCCTTCCACTTGGTGGCCACGCCGCTCCCGAGCCATCTGCTCATCCTGCCAGGTGAGGAAGGGTCAAAGGGAACAGAAAAACCTGCAACTTATAGTTACCTGCCCTACTCAGCTCCTCTCTAGGCCAAAGTGGAAGAGAACAGGACCACATAGGCTAACAGGCTCTCAAAGGCAGTGTGGATTCTGTGGTCCACCCATCCACCCACCTCACAGTGTTGGCTTGAGTGCCTTCTTAGCACATTACTGGCATAGGTCACTCACTCACCATGAGCTGGAAGGCGTTCTCAATGGCCCCTACTACCAGGCTGTCATGGGTTACTTCCTTCTGTGGAGACCAGCAAGACTGAGGGCTAACCAACTGTGAAGTAGTAGAGACAGCTGGGGTTCCCGGAGTGGATGGGAGACAGAGAGGAGGTGGCAAAGGGTCCTGAAGTATCTCTACTAGATCCTTTAGCTGTTCCCGGATGTGGCGATGCAGGAGCCGGGCAGCCATCTCAGCAGCCCCACCCCCAGCGTGCCCATCAAACAGGCCCCAGTAGTAAAAGCAGAATCCCTGGTGAAGAAAACGTTAGAAGTCAGTGGGGACGGAGGGTGACAGGGCAGAACAAACCTGTAAGTGGCCATATAAACGTCGCATGGGAGATCTGAGTGTGATATTAAGGCGATTTAGATTTATTCACTTATTCAGGCACAGCCTACTGTGTCAAGAGAAAGAGGAGCCAAGTTCAAATATGAAGAATGCAAAGATCAGTACTGATTAGTTAAATCATCCATAAACACATGAGCATCCACATAGGAAATGGAATAGCAAACTTTGCTAGCAGAACTAATCGAATTGAAGCCACTTAAGATTTCTGTGACAGAGGGAGAACCTCCAGGCATCTATTTAGAACCAATGCCTGAACCCCCTGGGGAGAAGTGTCACCACATCTCTGGAGGTTAGGAAAGGGGATGAAGTATTACCTGGTTATGGCTCAGCTCCTTGGAGGCCCCTGTAATGCTCCTCCGGCTCTCCACATACACGACCTCGCAGCAAGCCTGGTCCTCATTGTGCCTGCTCTTCCCAGCATTGATGACCCTGCCAGGCCAGAGTGTCCCACGCCAGGTTAGACACCAGACCAGGTCCTGGAATAACCCCCACCTTAGACTCACACACACACATCCTCTCCTGCTCACTGGCCAAGCTGAAAAAGGTCACAGCTGCCTGGGCTTCAAGCCAGAGGGAAGAGGAGAAGGCAGGGCCAGCAAGAAGTACTGTCTGGTGGCAGAATGTACAGCCTCATAGAAAGGCCCCCAACAGTGACTGCCTGTCTCAGTTACTCCATCCTTAGCAAAGGAGGCTTTCTGGAGGGTGGTGCTTGGGGGGTGTGGCCAGACAGGAACAGTAAGCTTTACTTCCCTACCAGTCAAAATTCTACATCCCACCTCCAATCTCAACCAGCTTAGACAGTGACTCATGGGCACATTCACCTTCATTGGCACGGGCACGGGCACATTCACCCCCATACTAAAACGATCCAGTCAAAGTTTCGGTCTTTCTTAGAGTGGGGAAGTGATCCGGCCCAAATAGGATTTGTAGACCCACCTGGACTGGGACGGAATCTCTTAGGTACAAAACCCTTCCACAGGGGAAGCTAAGAGAGAAGGTGCAGGGCTACCCACCACCTTCCTCCACGACCTCAGTGCCCCCATCTCCCTGGTTACTTGGCTTGGTTTTCCCCGAAGGTGATTTAAAAATAGGCAGGTTCTGAGAGCACGCTGCCTCTTGGGCTGTGCCCTACCAGCATCTAACTTTCTACAGACCCACAACCAAAGGGAACCGTGGCGCTCTGCGGGTGGACCCCTCCCCCGCCCGGGAAGCCAGAGGCCTTCTGGTGTCGCGGGCTATTTCTGGGTGTGGAGGGGGAGGGGATCGGTAAGAAGGACAGGGAACTGGGGCGCTGGGGCCAGGAAGCGGGTGAACGAGTCTTTCCACCCGCGATCTCCCTGGCAAGGGGAACTAGTTCTTTTCAAACCTCCCCTCCCTTAGCCTGTGAACCGCGGGCCGCGACTGGGAACCCGCCAACTCATCCTCGGCAGCGCTCCCTGCGCCCGCCCTGGGAGGGGACTGTCCTGAGACAGCGAGGGGGAGGGTGGGCAAGGTCCTGAAGAAGGTTGTGGAGGTTGCACCCCGTTCCGAGGATGGTTGGGAGGGGTGCAGATTCCTGGGATAGTCCCCGGAGCGTCGTGCGGCGGGAGACGCATCCCAGCAGTCGGGATGTGTCTCCTGGGAGAATGGGAGTCCCATCCTCGTCGGGGGCGCTCACTCGGCATAGCCTGTGCTCCAGGGCAGGCGGCGACCGGTGTCTGGGGGACTTTGCACAGCCCGGTCTGCGTGGTCGTCGGCGCGTCGCAGTCCCCCGGGGCTCAGCTGCAGAAAGGTGGGTCGAGAAAAGCTCACTGGATTCTCCAAAGACTTCTGGGGCCTGCAGACCTCGTTCCCAGGCTTTTTCCGGGGGCTCTTAGGCGTTTCTGGGGCGGCGAGAGGCGCTGAGGTGGCGTTGGGCAGATCTGGGGACTTGGAGCGCTGGGAAGAAGTGCCACTGGAGCTCACCAGGTGCGCCACGGCCGAGCGCACCCGGTTTAGCATGCTGCCTCCGTGCCCCGCCCCCGCCCGTGGCCCCGCCCCGAAGAGGCCCCGCCCCTAGGGCTCCAGGTGGGCGGTGTCCGCTCTGGGTTCTTGACAAACTTCCCCAGGCTCTAGGCCACCCGGGGAACCGCCCCACCCGCTCCTCGCCTCTTCTCCTTCGCATCCCTGCTTTGTCCCGCCAGAGTATCAGAGGGGAAGGGTTTATTGTGGGAAGGAAGCGGAACGAAGGAAACATTTCAGTCGTGCTGTAGGTTAGACATCCGCTAGATTTAATCCGCTAGAATCTGCCCATTATGACGAGGGCGGGAGAGGCAGCTTCCTCGCGCTCGGTTCGGGGTGGGCCAGCTAGCATGGAGAGTTATGGAGCTGATGACTTCAGAGCGAAACATCCTCTTGGGTGTGAAGGGCTTGGTGTGACAACACTTCAGGTTAAAGCTGCTGAATCAAGAGCAGAGAGAGCTGGTGCGAGTCGCGGTGCTAACCAGGCCGGCAGCCCACTACCAGGCACCTGAAGGCACTATTCTCTCTAAAGGTCACCTCCGCATTCGAGAGAACCATTGTCACTTCCATCCCACTTTCTCAGAGCCGTTCCCCCATATTTAGATTTCTGCTGGCCAGTTAGTAAGGCTAACGACATAATAAGTAAATACGACTATTGAAGGCTTGCTACACTAGGTCCTCTATAAGGCACGTTCTAGTCTTTAGGTCACTACACCAACAATGCAAAGAGAAATGTACACCCATTTTACAGATGAAGTAGGAGTAGACAGTCTCCTGTTCTTTTACTAGACTTGCCTAAGATTCACACAGCCACTTAGAAATTCACGAGAGAGAGAGAGAGAGAGAGAGAGAGAGAGAGAGAGAGAGAGAGAGCGAGCTAGAGAGAGAGAGAGAGAGAGAGAAATTCATACTCATGTCAGAACCTGGTTTCTCTGGATTAGGAAAAAGGCCCAGAGGGGAGTGGGACTCCTAAATTCCCACCCTCTGATGTTGCTGAGCAAATTCTCTGGCTACCGCCAGGGGGAGGCAAAGGCCAGGCGAAAATCTTGTCTGGGTCGCAGGAAAACCCACTATTTGGATCCAGCACAGATGGGCTTTGTCTTTTCTCAAGGGAAGGATTACTGTCCCGACTCAGAAAGAATTTTGTCCTTCTACCTGGACTTAGAGAATTGATCACTGCCAGGCAGTGGTGGCGCACGCCTTTAAACCCAGCACCTGGGAGGCAGAGGCAGGTGGATTTCTGAGTTCGAGGCCAGCCTGGTCTACAGAGTGAGCTCCAGGACAGCCAGGACTACACAGAGAAAAACCAAACCTGTCTCGAAACCTGTCTCGAAAAACAAAAAAAAAAAAAAACAAAAAAAAGAAAGAAAGAAAGAAAGAAAGAAAGAAAAAGAAAAGAAAAAAAAAGAGAATAGATCACTATCCACTCCCTCATCTATCCCCAACACACAGTTTAATAGAAGTCAAGGCCATTCCTTGAAGGAACCACAGACTTCCTGTTCTAAGCTGAGACTCCACCTCGAGGCACCCAGCTGAGTGCTTCCTGGTCCTATTCTGGGCTAACCTGTGCCTCCTTTCTTGACCACTTCTAAATAAAAATTCCACAGTGGTCATTCAAAGTACACACTTGCTGTAATTATGTCTGTGTTTTTGGCGGGGGGGGGGGTCAGGGGAGAGAAAATGAAATCACCAGGGTGGAGGTGGGGTGGACTGATAAAAATCAGACTCAACCAGCAGCAAAGGCAGCCAGGGACAAAAAGCATACATACTGCCACCATGAGTGTTTTCTTCTTGTTTGAGAAAAACAGAAGCCAACTGTCTGATAGATGTCATAGTGTCAGTAGGAAGCCAAAGACTGGAGGAAAAAAAAATACCCTTTAGTTTTATTATTCAGTGTTTCTGGGTCAGTTTACCTGTCACCTTTCAGTGTCACCCAGCTTCCAGGCTCTTCACAGCATCCGAGGTGTGACTGCAAAGATGGGCCACAGAACTAGGATCTATTGACCCCTGGACTCCGGTACCAGGTAATGGACAGGGCTGTCAGTCGCTCCCCTGGACTCTGGAACGACTCTGGCTGCCATCCATAACCAAACTCTAGAACTCTCGTGCTTCTGAACACCTCTCCTATTCCTACACCATCAGCCGTCTTCCGTCCTCCCCACACCTGGTAAAAGGACCTCTCTCTGAGGCAACAAAGAGTGAGAGCAAAGGGGAAGGAGGCGGGGGGGGGGGATACATTTATGAGATATGTCCCCTTCTGGGAGCTGAATGACACTCTTCCATTACAGAGGAGAAGGAGAGTGAAGGGCTGTGGGGAGGGAAGGGAGTTGAGGGGAGGAACAGAGCATTCTCAGAACAAACATGGTGGCACACATCTGTAATCCCAGGAGGAAGAGGTAGAGACAGGATGATCACAAGTTAGTGCCTAGCCTGAGGTATATAGTAAATTCCAGGCTAGCCAAGGCTACATAGTGAGACTTTGTCTTAAAGAGATAAAGGGAAACGGCTTAGCAGCCAAAAGTCCTTACTGCCAAGGCTGATGACCTGAGTTCAATTCTCAGCACCCTGGAAAGAGAGATCCAGAAAGAGGGCGAGAGAGAAAGAGAGGGAAGAGCCCCGCAGCTTGTCCCAGGCTGTAATGCTCAGAACCCTGACCCATGTCCATCTTTATCTCTCCTACACTATCACCTCCCCAAAGCTTCCTGGCTCTGACAAGTGCTTACACCTTTCCCGTGAAGAGGCAAGTTCACAACACTCTTCTACGCTCGTGTTTAATGATTTCAAAACATGAACTTGTCATACTTTTGTACTTGGGACTATTGACCATCTTTCCAATGAAGATACCAGGGACCTCAAATTTGGTTTCCAAGATGAGAGTCATACTCATCATCTCTTGAAGCCCTCCAGCTTGGTTCTCCACCCTAGTGCTGCCCTTAGTCTTCCAGGCAGGAGGGCAGCACTTCTGTGCTGGAAGTATTTATTATCCCTCTTGGGTAGCAGCCGGGAACCCTGTGGTACAAAAAAACCAAAACAACAACAACAACAACAAAAAACCTGTGCAACTTGGGAATCTTCCAATACGGTAGTCCACTTCCAGTGCCTAGGAAGCATCTTAAATAACACTTGACAGTACTAACAAAGAACTGGATACACACACCACCACAACCACCACTTAGTTTTCTTTTGTTTTAAGATATGGTCTGGCTAAGTAGTCCTAGCTGGTCTGGAACCTTGTATAAACCATATAGACCAAATGTTCTCAAACTTTCAGGCAACTTCCTACCTTCCTATCCCCTACCCCTGCTGTGCTTTTCTTTATTTGGGTTTGGAGGATTGTTTGGTTTGATTTGATTTGGGTTTTATTGTTGTACGTATGTATATGGATGTATGCATGTATGTTTGTTTGTTTGTTTGTTTGTTTTAGATAGAGTCTCACACTTATCTCCTGCCTTGTCTTCCAAGTTCTGGGATTATAGTTGTGAATCGGTGTACGTGGTCTGAAGAGCTGAATTTTAAGATTTAATGAGCTCGGATTTAAATAGCAGCCTACTGCTGATCTAGGTGAATACTACTCCCAGGCCCGACGCCCACATCCATCCCAGAATACCACCTACCTCCCTGAACCACACGACTAGGGGTCACATTCCTGGAAGTTTTAGTGACTTGCTCTAATTGATATGTTTTGCTCAAGGAACTGTTCATGAAAACAGAGTCGGTGGTCTTCTGTTCCTGACTCGACCTGCGCCACAAGAGGCCGCTGCGGGCCAGCTGTGCCCAGGTTCCCCGCAGAGCGCCCCCACGCTATCTCGAAGAAGGCGGCGGTGCCCGCAAGGGCTGGAGCAGCCGGAGCGACGAGCAGTCTAGCGGCTGCGCGCTTCTCAACCTACCGACGGAAAGCTCAAAGCTCGAGAGGACCCGGCCTAGCCCCGCGGAACTGGTGAGTCCTGGCCCATAGCATCCAGGTGCTCCAAGCCGGGCTCCAGCTTAGCCAGAGCCCCTGTTCTCCTCGGGCGCATAAACTTAGTGAGGATCTATTGCGGACAGAGCTCAAAACCAGACAACACCTAAGCTGGCCACTCCCGCGGAGAGACCGCTTTTGGGAGTCTAGATGCCAAGCTGAGAAGCAGCGAGGACCTCAGGCCAGAAGGTTGAACCAGGGCCACTGCTTTGGAGCAGGATTAAGAATAGGTGCTGGAGGGGGGGGGGACAGAAAGAAGTAAATAAAAACAAGATCAGAGGTTCTTGTTGACCTCTTGTTGGTGTGGAGGCTGCTCTCCCAGCCTCACCTTAGCCTGAATTGAGGATTGGAGAAATAGCCCAAGGAAACGGAGACAGACTATGGATGCTGATGAACAAATCCCAGAAACTTCCTTCTCCAGCACCTTTCAAGGAGGGAACAGAATGCCAGAGATCCCAAGTCTTTCATCTTTCCCAGGTTCTCTGAGTGTTGGAGTACCTAGGAGAAATGCATGAGTTGGATCAGACGCTGCACTGTTAGAACTCAACCAGAAATAGGATGTCCCCAAGAGAAGGACAAATGGCATTTGCAATGGTCAAAATGAAGGCTCCTGACACAGCCTGGGAAGGGAGACCATGAGAAAGAAGGCTCATCTAGAAGGGTGGGGGCATACCCATGCCCAGGGGTGGGCATCACCCCTCCACCCCCACCTGCATTCCCCTCTCTAGGCCCTCCCTGAGATCACCAGCAGTGTGTTTCAGTTCTACATCTCACTGGAGACTGAATGAGTCTTTGGCAGAGAATGGAGAAGCTCTTGTGGGCTGTGCACTGAAGCAGAGACCTGTTGCACTTCTAGGCTAACCCTCTGAGGTGGGGCTGAAGAACAGCAGCAGAATTAAGCCAGTTCCAGAGGAATCCAGGAAGCAAGGCTCGGGGTGGGTTAGAGGTGGAGGAAGAGAGAACTGGAAGACCTGGGGCTTCCTCTCCAGGGGTCTCTTCTGGGACAAAGCTGGCAGATTCTGTACCCTTCTCTGACTCTAGCTCTGTATCAAGACCAGAAAAATGACCACACTGATTCTTAGACCCTTCCATCCCTGCTTCACACCTAGGAAAACTAAAGTCCAGTCACTCTTCTTGGGGTCACTGTCCCCACAGATCTCTGTAGTCTGAGGGAGGAGGGACAGCTTCCCAGAGCTGACTGCCGTTGCCATGGGAGCAGCCTAAGCCGGAGTTCTCTAGTGCTTGGCCCTTTCTCTTACTCTATTCCAAGCTTTCTCTTACCCCCCTCCTGGGCTCTGTCCTCTCTCTATTCTAAACAGCCTCCACATTGCTTCCTACTTATCCAGGTGGAATGAGTCTGAGACCTGCAGATGAACAGACAGAGGCCTAAAGACCCCAGGAACGGTAAGTCAGACATCTGCAGATGGGAATTAAGGAATAGACAGCCCCCCTCCTCCAAGGGAGCAGCTGGATCCTTCTCTTTGGCCCCTGGTATTCCTAGAACTGTGCTGTCAACTGCTGGGGACAGTGACCAAGCTAACCTTTGACCTCCAGGACCTGTGGCCCCTGGGGCTCTTCCTGTCCCCTTCTGTGGCTAGTTTCTCACAGCTTCTTTGTGATGCTACTTTTCTGGCTTCCCTCTGGTTCTTACTCACTCTCTGGTACAGATGTTGGAGGCCTTGTTTGACTCATAGAAGAAAGGAGGAAAAAAAACATGTGGGCCTAGGGCAGGCTTCTGGGTCCTATTACCTGACAACTAGCCTTGGGCAAGACATTCAACTTCTAATCTAGGGGTTTTTTCTTCCATCCATTTATTTATTTATTTACCTTTTTTTTTTTTTTTTTTTTTGGTTTTTCGAGACAGGGTTTCTCTGTGTAGCCCTGGCTGTCCTGGAACTCACTCTGTAGACCAGGCTAGCCTCGAACTCTCGAACTCAGAAATCCGCCTGCCTCTGCCTCCCAAGTGCTGAGATTAAAGGCGTGTGCCACCACCGTCCGGCTTATTTACTTATTTTCATGTGTGTGCTTGATGCATGCATGTATGCATCCATGTGAGGGCCAGAGGAGGCCTATTTGATAGGGACATCCTGCTCTGTCACTAGCCACCCTACCCCGTTCAGGCATGGTCTTTCACTGAATCTAGCTCTAGGCCGTCCAGCAATCCAGCAATCTCTTTACATAGTCTAGCTTTTTATATCTGTGTTGGTGTTCTTGTGCTTGCTCAGAGAGCCTCTTACTCACTGAGCCATCCTCCTCAGCTCTGTGATTTATATTTTTTTTTTGAGACAGGGCCTTCCTATGTAGCCCTGCCTAGGCTTGAAACTCACTATATAGATCAGGCTGGCCTCAAACTTCCAATGATTGATCTGCTGTTGTTTCTGAAATGCTAGGATTATACTTACCACATGACAAGCCTTCGTTCCCTTCTTTTAAATTTTTAAATTGTGTTCAGATTGAATTGCACTGCTTTGATTTGAAACTCCAACACCTAAAAGAAAGAAAGAAATTCCAGGGTGGGGGGCGAGATTATTCATCTTCCTACTTACGGCTACTAGCCAAGCAGAAAGTTTCCTTTCTCAGTGGCAAACAGAGCTGGTATACACACATTAAGCAACACACACACACCCTCTCCCTCGCACACACCATGTATACACTGTGACTGTACCCCACACACACTTGGTGCTTTTTTCCCTCCTGTAAGACTTTTCTCAGAAGAATCTACTGCATACATCATTACAAAGTTCCTCGATGGTTTTGGTTTTCTCTGGGTTCTGTTCTGTCCTGTGTTCCCAGCTGTCTGGAAAGAACTGTCTTTTCAGAGTCTCCAAGGTGTACTCAGCTCCTCCCTCTACTGATGGCTGTTCAGGTTGTATCCAGACTTTCAGAGCTTTATTTGTAAAATGGATAATTGCAATCTCTTGTGCAGTGGGATACCACCAAGAGCACACAAATGAAGTGTTTGGGTCAAGAGCTCAAAAAGTGGAAGTCAGCGTCATTGCCCAATTCACAGCACAGCCCTTAATTTATTCTGTGAAATCTCTGAAATGTCTCCTCCACAGGCTCCGCCTTCCTGTTCCTTGATCCGTCTATCAGTGATCACAACCTACAGTGACCTCTCCCGGCCCCAAGCTGCCTGGAGACAAGGTGTGCATCCTGTTTAACCTTGGGGCCTCTAGAGCATGGCATAGGGAAGGGACTGAGTTCATGAGCAGAGGGAGCATGAGTTTGAGCTAAGTACTTCTCTCCACAGAATGACTGAGAGGTCCACCAGCAACTGGAGCCCAGGCAGCTGGGTGCTAGCACTGTGCCTAGCCTGGCTGTGGACGCGTCTAGCCTCTGCTTCTTTGCAGCCTCCAACATCCACAGGTTTGGGGAAGGTGGTGGGACAAGGGAAGGGATTTTAGAGGGCTCTAGCCCATCCCACAAAGCAGGCTGATCTCTGGGGCAGAGTAGAAAACTGCCGATGTGACCACTCGAGTCATTGCCCAGGAAACCATCCTCTTCCATCACCCAGTCTAGAGAAGGCCTGGGAAGACCCATTGGCACCATCACTTCCAGGGGGAAGGTGTTCTGCAGTGAGGCCCTCGGGTGGAGGCTTAAGTCTAGTCTCCTGGCCTAATTCTGGGGTTTTCCTTCTGGGATGGCTAAAGCCTCTGTAAGCGGATGATCCTCCCCCACGCATTGTAAGCTCTGGGGCCCTTGCCCTCACCCTGAGAAAGTGGAAGGTGGGGGCTGGTGTGGAACTCCAGCTTTCAAAGAGTCATGAACATGGCCTCAGGGGGGCGGGTAACAGGAAAGTTTCATCTGTTTCTTTCTCCCTTATCATTAGTGCCTCTCCCTCTCTCTCTCTCTCTCTCTCTCTCTCTCTCTCTCTCTCTCTCTCTCTCTCTCTTCCTCTCTCTCTCTCCCCCCTCCTCTGTGTGTGTGTGTGTGTGTGTGTGTGTGTTTTGAAGGTATGATCCCAGGCTTCACCTCTATGTTAGCAAACACTACCACTGAGTTGCCGTCCTGGCACTGGATTTCTCTTACATGATTTTTCCATGAGCAAAGAGGAGGGAGGGAGTTGAGGGCCTGCAGCAGGGTAGGAGAGAGGGAGGAGGGCAGGGTTAGAGGTCTGGGTTTCCTGATCTTATAACTGCTGTCCCCATCAGTTCTAGTGAAGCAGGGCACCTGCGAGGTGATTGCTGCCCATCGCTGCTGCAACCGGAACCGCATCGAGGAACGCTCCCAGACGGTCAAATGCTCCTGCCTTTCTGGACAGGTGGCTGGCACTACAAGAGCAAAACCCTCCTGTGTGGACGGTGAGTGGGAGGCCAGGCCCTGGGCAGCCTGGTCAGAGCAGAGATAAGAAAGTCATTTAGGCCTCACCATCTGCTGAGGATCTAGTTTCATAGCCATCTCAAGGCTTACCTTATCCGTCTCACGTGGTGGAGAATCATCCTGGAGGAGAGGGGGCAGACAGGGCCCGCCCTGTGTCATAGAGGAAGAAAGCTCTTGTTACAGCCCATATACATACCTGCCACCTGGCCCATTCCCTCAAACAGCTCCTCTGGCCACACACTCCTCTAGGGAGGTCCTCTTGCACAAGTGTGTTAGTATCAATCTGCTCCATGTGGATCAGGTGATCTCTGACACCACACACCCACTTTCCTTCCTTTCTGTGCACACTTGTGTTCTTACACTCTGGTGGCATCCAGATCATCACCACGCGCGTGCTCACTAGCTCCCATGCCAGCTTGTGCACACCCGGATGTGGCTTGGATACTAGCTCATATCCACTAAGGAGGGCACTGAAGATGGTACCTCAGTGCTAATGACAGCTGTCCCACAGTCCGCTTCTCCTGCCGCCTCGCTTGATGCCCTCCTCCCACTTTGGTGTGATGCAGTGATGAATTGACTGGGATAGTCCTCAGTCCTCAGCACTCAGCCTAAGCACAGTGCTGCCTCCTTGAACAGCCCAGAGTAGGGGGAGGACAAGGGGAAGGTGGCAACCAAAGCCTGTGGTATGTGGGAAGGTACACCTCATCCATAGACTGGCTGTGACCAGTGCTGTGCTCCCAGAACTTAGAGCCACACCTGCCTCCTGCCCCACAGCCTCCATCGTCCTGCAGAAGTGGTGGTGTCAGATGGAGCCCTGCTTGTTGGGGGAGGAGTGTAAGGTGCTCCCGGACCTGTCAGGGTGGAGCTGCAGCAGTGGACACAAGGTCAAAACCACCAAGGTATTGAGATGGATGGCTCGTTCTCCCCTCCTGCTCTTCCTTCACCTGGGGTAGCACAGGGGCCGAGCCCTGGAGGGCCAGGACGGCAGTGTCATAAGGTGGGCGTGGGAATCATGAGAGCACATATCAGACAGTCCAGTCTTCTAGGCACTGCTACTGGTGATGGTATGCCTGCCTTGGCTTTCCCCTCTTCGTTTCCCATGGGTTTACCCCTAGAAAATACCAGGCCTTTTAAACAAACAATATGGAGCAGGGCACAGAGGCACACATTTGTAATCCTAGCACTTAGGTGCAAGAACAGGACTTCAAGGCTAGCCTAGGCTACATGATACCTGTATCAAAAAACAAAGCAAACAAACAAAAACTAAGGAAAAAATGTAGAGAACTGAGGAAATTACCTAGATCATCCAGGGAGGAATTTGTCCTTCCATCTGAATTCCAGAAACTGTAACCACTCTGCCTGCCACCTCACCACAGACTGTCCTTTGTCACCTACACCACTCTTCCCCTTCCCCTCCCACTCCTGCTCTCTGCTTCCTGACTACCCTCCTCTAGTCAGATTGCTCTGTCTTCGGTGACAGCACCTAAGACGACTATTATCGTCACAGCTTGCTGCCTGCCCCACGAAACAAGGGGTAATTAAAATTTTATCAAACTCTTTAGCAGTTCCATGTGTGCCATGGCTAATTAGTTGCATGTCATTGCTACCATTATCTGTGCAAGTGAGTGACATTTCTGGGCAAGCCAAGGCAATGTCCCTGCCCCCAGCCCTACCACACACAGCAAGCAGGCTAACGAAAAGAAATAAAAACACTTCTAGGTTCTGTGGAACATGGAGGTTTTCTTTCTTTTCTTTTCTTTTCTTTTTTTTTTTTTTTAAGATTTATTTATTTTATGAATGTGAGTACACAGTTGCTGTGATCAGACATACCAGAAAAGGACATCAGATCCCATTACAGATGGTTGTGAGCCACCATGTGGTTGCTAGGAATTGAACTGAGGACCTCTGGAAGAGCAATCAGTGCTCTTAACCACTGAGCCATCTCTCCAGCCCGGAGGTTTTCATAGAACACACAACACTGAGAGTGACATCAGGAAAAGGTTTGGGGGGCTGGAGAGGTAGCTCAGCGGTTAGGAGCACTTTTTGCTTTTGCAGAAGACCTAGGTTCGATTCCTAGCACCTACATGGCAGCTCAGTACTGTCTGTAACACAGTCCTAAAGGATCCAATACCTTCTTATGGCCTTCTTGGGTACCAGACACACATGTGGTACACAGATGTTCGTGCAGACACAATACTCATACACACAAAACTTAAAGGGAGGTAGGGAGGCAGTTGGCTAAGTAAAAGGCAGGGCAGCCTGTCTTGCAGGCAGTGAAGGGGGACAGCCATTCTGAGAATGTTTATTAAGACTTGCAAAGTGAGACCTATCACAGCACCAGAGACATTTGCCATACTGTTACAGGCCTGAAAGTCAGATGCCTTTGCAATTTGTGTAGTATGACTCAGAAGCAAATGACAGAATGCCTGACTGGTGCCAGCATGGGCCACCAGGCCACAGGTGCTCAGCTTGAATGGTTTTAGGAGAGTGGCAGCAGTGACCTCTAGGTGACTTGCCTTTGCTGGGGCTCTCTGGCATGCTACAATGGCTGTTTCCCTGTTGCTTTCTCAAACCTTCTTCTACCTGATCATTTGCTTTCTAGGTCACACGGTAACTCTCGGAGGTCATGGCTTAGGCAGGACAGCCTCGACTGAGCTCTGGACTGAAGAATGGCCTCTGGTCAACAGACAGCAGAGAGGAGGACTCACTTACCTGGACATGTGTCCATGTCAAATGTAACATAGACCTGCCAGGGCCCTGTTAGTCACACTGTTCAGCAGAAATACTTGTATCTTTGGCCACACACTTGAAAGACCTGTGCTCTCCTATGAACTAAGGACAACACACAAACCTGTCCCTAAGAATTATCTTGTCAAGTTAGGGAGTGGATGACAGACAGTTTCAACTGTTAAAAGTGTTTGGTATCATGGCTTCTGAGCTACCTGCAGTAGGGATGGTGGGGTGGGGTGGATGAAATTTTCAAAGATCTTCCACTATCCCCTGATCACAGGACACAAAGTCATTAGGTCACACCAGTCCTTCCCATCCTGGCCTTCCCATCAAACCTGCATCTCCAGCAAAATGCTAAGGTGTGAGGGAAAAACACTGTCCCCTGATGCCAGTGGGATCTCTTTTGGACATTACTAGAAAGTAGAGATGCGCCGGGTGGTGGTGGCGCACGCCTTTAATCCCAGCACTTGGGAGGCAGAGGCAGGCGGATTTCTGAGTTCGAGAGTTCGAGGCTAGCCTGGTCTACAGAGTGAGTTCCAGGACAGCCAGGGCTACACAGAGAAACCCTGTCTCAAAAAACCAAAAAAAAAAAAAAAAAAAGAAAGTAGAGATGAAGACCTCTTCAGCACAGCTCTGCAGAGGCAGGGCAGGGCTCACAGCCTTTGCTGTCCATGGGATGGACAGGACCTCAGTCAGAATCACTCCCCATCCTGAACTTCAGGCATTTGGTCACTTGTTTTAATGGACAAGAAAACTGAGACACTGAGGGATGAGATGATTTGCCCAAGATCACACAGCTTGGGCTTCCAAAACACGAATGTTAAGAGTCCAGACTAGGCCTTTTTATCTAGACAATGAGACCCAGCAAACACTGTCTGGATAGCAGCAACGTGATTCTTTGACCACTGGCATTTCAGTTGAGGCCACTGATCTCTCATCAAAAAAAAAAAAAAATCTAGAATATACACACACACAGCAGCGTGGAGCCGATTCTCAGTCCCCCAAATCCAAACAGGCCTGGTGACAGCCTGGAGATCACTCAGCCCAGTGACAGCTGAAGCAGTGTGAGCAGGTATCCCATCACCCCTCTGACTCTTCCAGGAGCTTCAGCCATCCCCTGCATAGGTACCTGCCAGAGGGCAGAGGGGCAGGCTGGAGGACAGCCCAACAGTGAAGGTCTTCTTCACAATCTGGCTTGCCTCCTAAATGGCTTGGGAGTAGCATGCTGGTTTACTCTTATCACCAAGGCCTTAAGGAGTGGTGTATGTTAGAGACCAGCCTGGATGATGGTCCCTGAGGAGGCAAATCAGTGATAGTTTACAGTAGAGTCTCAGTGCCCCCTCTCTGCCTGTTTCCCTAGGCATTTGACTAAGACTCTGATATCACCCCATCTCAGGGGATGTTTTTGTTTTTGTTAAATGAGATGAACAGTAATGTTATCTTTCTAAGGCTGGCCTCTGTCAGTCTCTGCTTGTAGCAAGGTCACAGGCCAGGGTCACCAGGAGAGGTCCATGGCAGTCATGACCTCCTTCAGTACTAAAGAGTGGAGGCCGGAGGATATGTTAAATCTTGATGACATATTCTTTGTTTTGTTGTTTTGTTTCATTTCGTTTTTAAAAACATTACAGAATAGTCAATGCAGTCTTTAGCTCCAGGGAGGGAAGGAACACATTATTGCCCTTTTCAGGTGTTTGTTACCCTTCCCAGGGGACATTGAAGGCCTGGGATGGCCTCCCAGCCTCCTGGCTCACCCTCTGTACCGTGGAAACCTGAGCACAGGGCTGGGGCTGGGTTTGTTTTCCTCCTAATGCTCAGAGAGAGATGGGTGAGTGAATTATTTAGGTTACGGCTTCAGCAGAGCCAGACATCGGAAGCCTGCTTTCCTGGAGGCCAGAAGGTAGGTTCTGTAGGTTAGTGTAGAGCTCAGTGACAGAGCACTGAAGGAAAGGTGGACTCTCTGACCACTCCTTCCTGGACGCTGTCACCCCAGGGTCAGCCTCCCTGCCCCACCCCAGCTGTGTCGTCCACACAAACTGGGTTAGAGAGTATGGAGATGATGTGTCACAAGCTCCTGAGAGCTGCCAGCCTCCTCCAGCCCCCACCTGCCTCAGTGTCCTGATTCTGCACCTTCCCTGACCCCCACTGACCTAGCCATGCATTTATTGGGTGAACTCTGAGCTGAGGGGGTATCTGTATATTGCCAGGATAGAATCACATAGAAAACTCTGGCAAAGAAGAGAAAAGCACCAGACCCCCCCCACCCCAACTCCAGCTCCCCAAAATTCTGTATCCAACTGAATCCAAACCTGTGTAGGTTATGTAGCTATGCAAGGAACAGTCTAGAAATAAATGGAGTTTTTTGGAGCGTAGGGGTTCCTGTAGTCATTTGTCTTCCTCCTCCCTCCTTGGTGAGAGCATCTCATACCCTCGGAAGTCTGCTGGGATGCCAGCCCTTCAGCTATGTGGGCTTTAGGAAAGCTTGCAACTATTACATCATGTAACTGATTTCTGCTGACCTCCTGGCAGTTTCACTAAAGTCTATGAGTGACATCCTGATTAATGACCCCAGACAGCTCCACAACATCAAGTTGCACACTGAGGCTACAGCTCCCTAAAGCTAGAATTATAGTTGCAAGGGGTCTTAGAAGCCAGTTACCCAGCTCTTTGAGTTGCCAGCCTAGGAGAGAGTAGCTCAAAAAGGTTAGGTAATTTGCTCAAAGTCACACATCAAGGTGGTGGCTTGTCCTGCCTAGTGATATAGCACAGAGTTCTTTGCACTATTATACATCCCATCGTACCCCAGAGCAGATGAGAACTTGGAAGGAGAACAGGGTCCTTAACCATGACTGTGAGAGTCTCATTCTAGACTCACCCAACACTGTGAGAGCAAAGGGCAGAGGGAAGACAAACAGGAAACACATAGTGGTCACCTACACATAGGAAGGAAGAAGGGGCGGCATCACCACTTCAGAATTTCAAACCACAGGGCAAGACTGAGCAGAGCTAATGCCACATGAAGGAGGACTGGTCTCTGCCCTTTCTGGAGGAGGCAACTTGGAGCTTTGTCCGTGCTTGGCAAACGACATGGTGGTGCATGCCTATAGTCCAGGTACTCAGTAAGCAGGAGGGTGCCAAGACAGAGGCCAGTCTGGACCTAACAGAGACCCTGTCAAAAGAGGAACAACAACAAAAGAAAAAGAATGGAAAGCCTTGCATAACCTTGCAGCTGTCTTGATAAACCCAGGTTTATGTCCTGTACAGGGGACTGCAAACTAAAGCACACGGGTTACTTTTTTTTTTTTTTTGCAAATAAAATTTTTTTTGTTTGTTTGTTTTTTTTGTTTTGGTTTTGGTTTTTTGAGACAGGGTTTTTCTGTGTAGCCCTGGCTGTCCTGGAACTCACTCTGTAGACTAGGCTGGCCTCAAACTCAGAAATCCGCCTGCCTCTGCCTCCCAAGTGCTGGGATTAAAGGTGTGTGCCAGCACTGCCCGGCACAAATAAAGTTTTATCGAAACATATGCTATGTTTACTATTACCTATGTCTATTTTTGTGCTTATGACAGCATTGTGAAGAGACCACATGTCTCTCAAAATCTAAATAAGTCTGTAGAAACTTTTTGTCAGTCTTTGCAACAGTGTTTTATTGTAGCCTTCTGAATGTGAACACTCCCGATCTGGAAATTGATGGCTCCATTAGATTCCAGCATTTGGGGAGGTTTTTATTTTGTTTTGTTTGACCTTGTGCCTGTGTCCTGTCCTCTTAAATCCTTTCCATTGCCTCTTGTAATGTCTAACAACAACAAACAAAGACATGAAGTCTAAGATAGAGTCTGAGAGGAAGACCCTTCCCAGACATTCCTCCCTGCAAAAGGTATTTAACCTCAGGCCTACCCTAAGAAAATGGTATCGTTTTACTCATCCACTTTCTGCCATGACAATAAATGCTTTAAAACCATGGACTGCACTTGGGAGGCAGAGGCAGGCGGATTTCTGAGTTCGAGGCCAGCCTGGTCTACAGAGTGAGTTCCAGGACAGCCAGGGCTATACAGAGAAACCTTGTCTCGAAAAACCAAAAAAAAAAAAAAAAAAACCATGGACTGCTTCTTTTCATCGGGATCCACCGTGGGGAGCTATGGAGAAGGTCTTCACTTATAGAGCTGCATCTAATCTCCTGCAGAAGGCCTCTCAGCACTCCCAGCCACGACCACCAAGCCAAGGACTCTTCCCCTCGAGAAGCAGCCTCAGCCGGAGTTCTCTCCCGCTCCGTTCTCAGCTCGTACACGGCTCCCAGCAGCGCCTGGGTGCTCAAGAGACTGAGAACCAGACAGCTCTGGCCCCTCAGCAGGCCAGGAGACCCCCCAAACCAGCTCTAGCGGTCCCCGGGACCATAGACTGTGCTCCCCACCCCCAGAGCGGTGTCCCACGGCTTCCCATAGCCGGATGCCTGCCCTGTGCCAGCCTCCGTGTCATCGCAGTCAAACTTCCTGCGTCCTGCCTCCCAGAGCGCCCTGTGGTGGATCTGATGAGGGCTACGTATCCTACACATCCCTACACCTCACCCTCACCAATCCCACCCCTAAAGGCTTTACATTCAACACAGGTCAGGCCATCCTTCTGAATGGACCAGGCAAGTAGGACGTAGCAAGTACTTTACACACCTGGGCAGCACACGGCATCCAGATAGTGGTAAATAAGTTCTGTAGAAATTTAGGAGCTTCTCAACCTGAAACACTTGGTGGACGGGGCGGGATTGCCCAGATGTCCAGGGTACATTCAAATATCACTCAAAGTAGAAAACGATTTGCAGCCTGTGGCTTCTACAAATAAGAAAGAAAAGTGTTGTTCTTTGGAATTGGGGGAGGGGGGTGTCATTGAGACAGGGTCTCTTATATAGTTACACACACACACACACACACACACACACACACACACACACACGAGCCTTGAATTTGGGGAAATCCTCTTGCCTCTATTCTGAGTGCTGGGGTTGTGTGTGTAAGCGACGGTATAGCAGAAACCATCAAAGTAGACCACTCTGTGGGTGGAAAGGTTTATACAAACTTCTAAGGCTGTAGAGGGGGGCAGGGGAAGCCTTGACAGTTTTAAAGAGACAGGTGCTGAGGCAGGAGGGCCCCTGTAAGCTAGAACAAACTCAAACTGTAAGTTAGTGTGGTGGGGGAGGGGCCAGAAGCTTGAGGACTTCAATGCCTCTCACAAATGTATGCTAATAGAAGACTAGACGCCCCATTGCTAGAGGTAGTCTTCTGGGGGGACAGATAAGGAAAATAATGGCTCTTCCTGGCAAATAGAAACCCATACCCTAGATATGTTTCTGAGGAGTGCTGAGTTTTGGCTTCTGTTTATCTGCTAGCAACCCTTCTGTGTACCCTGTCAGAGCCCAGCCTGAGCTGAGCCCATTCTTTTTTTGTTTTGTTTTGTTTTTCAAGACAGGGTTTCTCTGTGTAGCCTTGGCTGTCCTGGAACTCACTCTGTAGACCAG